GGAATACTCCCCCGCCCGCGAGTATCGCGGGTCCCACCTCTTGTTATGAATAATGAGCTTCTGACAGAGTGCCCTCCTTTTATTCTGCCTTTAATGTGCATGGCAGACAGAAATACAATATGTGCCACTTTTCCACCCTCTACCACAAAGGCAGGAAAGGTTTCATTTCTTGAATGCCTGTCATAAAGATTATTCAGGCTTCAGAAACCCAGCTTGGAAAAGCGAACATCCTTTTTTCCTTAACTACCTCTAAAACAGTTACAAAATTCATGTCTGAGAAGCCAATCTCAGTGCTTCAGTTATCCAAACAATTTGCAGCCTAGTCTCATGCACATGGCCTTGGAAGTAATCCCAGTGAGTTCAAGGGGCCCTACACCCATGAAAGGGTGTCTAGGACTGCAGCTTCCTGATACCGGTGCTAGTTGTTCACAGGTGAAGTTGATTCCTTCACTGTTTCCTCTGAATTGTCTTCGTACCCAGGGAGTGGAGTGACTATCACTGGTCCTCTGTAAACTAGCCACATAGAATGTCAGTTATTTCAAGCAGACAGGAAAGGAGTAGAATGTATACAAATACCACTACTGATTGACTGGCTCATAGCAGAATCTCTCCTTATATATAATTGAATAGTGGGTGCCAAAGTTCTAAAATGCACTCCTTTAGTGTATGGACGCTTGAACTGTCAGTCAGAAGACGCTGGCTGGGTTGACTGGCTGCTTTGTGCAGTCCCGCCCAGCGTTTCAAGGTCTTTTGCATATGGAAGCTGATTGGACTTCACTGCATTCCACACCTCAAACTCACCCCCCTCCCCGCAAGGCAGTTGGAATGTCAGTTGCATATGGAACCTTCAAGGTCTTTTGCATATGGAAGCTGATTGGACTTCACTGCATTCCACACCTCAAACTCACCCCCCTCCCCGCAAGGCAGTTGGAATGTCAGTTGCATATGGAACCTTCAAGGTCTTTTGCATATGGAAGCTGATTGGACTTCACTGCATTCCACACCTCAAACTCACCCCCCTCCCCGCAAGGCAGTTGGAATGTCAGTTGCATATGGAACCTTCAAGGTCTTTTGCATATGGAAGCTGATTGGACTTCACTGCATTCCACACCTCAAACTCACCCCCCTCCCCGCAAGGCAGTTGGAATGTCAGTTGCATATGGAACCTTCAAGGTCTTTTGCATATGGAAGCTGATTGGACTTCACTGCATTCCACACCTCAAACTCACCCCCCTCCCCGCAAGGCAGTTGGAATGTCAGTTGCATATGGAACCTTCAAGGTCTTTTGCATATGGAAGCTGATTGGACTTCACTGCATTCCACACCTCAAACTCACCCCCCTCCCCGCAAGGCAGTTGGAATGTCAGTTGCATATGGAACCTTCAAGGTCTTTTGCATATGGAAGCTGATTGGACTTCACTGCATTCCACACCTCAAACTCACCCCCCTCCCCGCAAGGCAGTTGGAATGTCAGTTGCATATGGAACCTTCAAGGTCTTTTGCATATGGAAGCTGATTGGACTTCACTGCATTCCACACCTCAAACTCACCCCCCTCCCCGCAAGGCAGTTGGAATGTCAGTTGCATATGGAACCTTCAAGGTCTTTTGCATATGGAAGCTGATTGGACTTCACTGCATTCCACACCTCAAACTCACCCCCCTCCCCGCAAGGCAGTTGGAATGTCAGTTGCATATGGAACCTTCAAGGTCTTTTGCATATGGAAGCTGATTGGACTTCACTGCATTCCACACCTCAAACTCACCCCCCTCCCCGCAAGGCAGTTGGAATGTCAGTTGCATATGGAACCTTCAAGGTCTTTTGCATATGGAAGCTGATTGGACTTCACTGCATTCCACACCTCAAACTCACCCCCCTCCCCGCAAGGCAGTTGGAATGTCAGTTGCATATGGAACCTTCAAGGTCTTTTGCATATGGAAGCTGATTGGACTTCACTGCATTCCACACCTCAAACTCACCCCCCTTGGCAAATTCCTGGGGATTTGAGGGGTGGAGCCTGGAGAGGGTGGGGTTTGCGGAGGGGTGGGACCTCAGACAGGTAGAATGCCATAGACTCCACCCTCCAAACCAGCCATTTCATCCTGGGTAACAATTGTTGCCAATCTCCAGGTGAGGGCTACAGATCACTCAAAATTACAACTACTCTTCAGGGAGCAGAGATCAGTTCCTCTGGAGAAAACAGTGGACTCTGTCATTATACCCTGCTGAGGTCACTACAGCAAAATGACACTGTTTGCCCAAAGCCAGAGCACTCCCCCAGAGCCTCTTTCTAAATCTCGTTGTATTTATTTCCACAACGGGCTTTACTGCTAGTTGAGGAAATAAAGCAAGAACAATGTGGTGCTTGAAGGAACATAGCTGTTGCTATTGGTGTTCCTTGGTTATTGTGATAGCTTGTCTTAATCGTGGGGACTTCTCTAGGCATGTGTCAATACCTCAGTGGTTCTCAAACCAAGTCCTTAATGGTTTAAAAGGAATCATATGTTACATCTTCTAGGAAATCCTTGTCAGAATTGTTACCGAGCTTTTATACAGCCTGATGCTGTGCAGTGCCTCGATCTCACACTGAGGTGACCTTGTGAGGTAGATGGCTGGTTCAATGTTGGGGTCTTTTGAGTAAAAAGATGGCTGCTGTTCTATTGCCTTCATTAGTACTCCATAGATCTCCACTGAACATATGTTCTAGTACTCTTTTTGATTAACTTCATTTCCCTTCCATGTCCAGCTTCTAAATTAATGGTGCAAAACAGTTCATAATATAAAATGTTACCACTTGATGCAACTGATGTCCCCTGCTAATGAACCTTGAACAGAAGCATTCACAGAGCAACTAGCCTTTTCCTGGCTTGCTCAAATAACACTGGCACTGTTATCTTCACAGGAGAACAGCTAGTGCCAGCTGCTCCTAGAAGGCTCGGGTTCTCAAAAGCACATCTTGGCTTCGAACAACAACATATGAAAAAAAAAGTATTCTTGGAGTCTTCTCACTCTGTCTAGCTTTTAGTGGAGGAGACTGAGCATTTTCCCATGAAATAATAACTGTATTTCGGCCTCTTTGGAACATAATAACTGAATGCTTCATTCTTCTGTCCCAAGCTTATGCTTTTGTTTCTGGAGTTGTAGCTAAATAAGCCTCTGAGGTACGGCTTCTGCTCTTCTAACACTGGTTTAGATGTAATCTGAACTCACAACTGATATGGTATATTTATCTGAACGAATCCTATACATGTGTAGCATACTTGTGCAAAATCTCCCTAGACAAATGTGGTTAATAGAATTGCCAACCTTCAGATTGTGGCTGGAGATCTCCTGGAATTACAACTGGCCTCCAGGCAACAGAGATCAGTTCAATAAGAGGAAATGGCTCCTTTGGAAGGTGGACTCTATGGCATTAGACCCCCATTGAAGTCTCTCCCTTCCCCAAACCCTGCCCTCCTCAGCCTTTACCCCCAACATCTCCAGGTGTTTCCCAACCCGGAGTTGGCAACCTTATTAGTTAACCACATCTAGTTGGCTTTCTAGCTGTGAGACTATTCTCGGGCGGAGGGGAAGCTTCCATGACATTGTAATAGGATTGTTAAAAAGTCACTACTGGTACCCAAGTGGGTAAGTATCAAGCTGGAATCCTTGAAAACCACTGCAAGCAGCTGTAAGATACTAATGCAGTACAGAAAGAAGAGCAGTTTTAACATCAGATGTAGTTTCCGCTGCTCTTAGCCATTGCAGGCCATCTTACAAGAGATGGTGGCTTTGACTTCCTAAACCTTAGGGTATCCCTTTTGGAGTTTGGTGTAGTGGTTAAGTGTCTGGACTATAATCTGGGAGAACCATGTTTGATTCCCCACGCCTCCACTTGCAGCTGCTGGATGACCTTGGGCAAGCCATAGTTCTGTCAGAGCTATTCTCAAGGACAGATCTAGGAAGAGCTCCTTCAGCCCCACCTATCTCACAGGGTGTCTGTTGTGGGGAGGGAAAGGGAAAGGAGTTTGTAAACTGCTCTGAGACTCCAAGTGAAGGACAGGGTATAAATCCAGCTGCCGCTGCCTCCTCCACCGCCTCCTCCTCCACCACCACCTCTTCCTCTTCTTCTTCTTCTTCTTCCTCCTCCTCCTCCTAGGACCTGGTGAAAATGTTAGATCTCTTAATTTTGAGGCATTGCACATATTAGATTACCTGAACTTGTATGTAACCTGAGACTACTAATTGCACTTCATTTGTAGTCCGCTGTTCTCACAGAGGTACAGGTCAGCCTACAATAACTACTGGATTCTTCTGTTCTTCCAGGCAATCCCAGACTCCTTGGTCTACCACACAAACTATGGCTGGTAGGCAGTCCAATAATAGTGAGAAACAGCCCAACTGAGATCCCTGTTGAGTGCCATTACCTGTCAGGTTCAACAGCAAGTAAATCTCCACACACGTTCCCAGGGAAGCGTTATGCTTTATTAGACTACAGGTCTGTTACCAGGTCCACAGGTTTATTGTTAGGAATGACAATAGGGCGGAAACATCCCTACATATAGCAGGATGAGGCAAATGGCTAAGCAAATTAAATCCGAGTGCGTGCGGGGGAACTCTCCTGGCGGGAGGTTACATAATAAGTCTCAGTGCCATGAGAGCCGAAATATTCACACGAGCGGTGGAACACAAGCCCTCCCTCCGTCACAAGGTCAGACAGATAACACAGTCTGGCAGCACTGGTTCTCACGGTCTCCCTATCGCTGTTTATGGACAGCAGGAAGAGCAGCAAGCAAGCTATGAGGCATGAGCCGGAGCGCCAGGGTCAGAGAAGGGAACAAGCAAAACATGGCAGCTAACTGACATTACCCCAGGTAAGCATTAGCATCTAGCATATTATTCAGCTGTTTGCTTTTGTTAATGAGACAATGAAAAAGCAGGTTTCTGTCTGAGGAAAAGAGAATGTGAGGAGCAGTGCATTCAAACCTACCTGGACCCCCTTCAGCTTTGCTGTGTCTGTAGAGGATAAGCTGCTTTTCTCCTTGCATCTGATGCAAGTAAGATTCCAGATCCTTAAGATGATAGCTGATAGGCCAACAGGAATGATGGAAATCCATTTCTGTTTATTGTGAGTGGCTACAGATAACTGGAGCGCAGAGAGATCGTCCACTGGATTTTGGCTGGGTGACTTTCTCCATATTCAAGCAGATGTCTATGGAACAAGCCATGTACCTCTGAGGCTCTTTGTGGACAGCTGTGTGGCCACACAAGCACCAGGCAAAGACTCCACTCCAAAGTATGCAATCACTGACTTCCATGGGTAAGATTAAATAACACTGACCCAAATTGCATTGAAGGACTAAATTCTCAATCTGTGTGGTGGTATCGTGTAAAATGGTCCTATGTACTATCAGGCGAGAGGGAAAGAATAAGGTAGCTCAGGCTCCCACTGCCCCAAATCAGTGGGTGGGCTAAAAGCATTTGGCAGAAAAACAGATGGATCCACACAAGATTTCTAGGGTGATGAAGATGACTGGAGTCTAATAATCTCCACTTCAGTTGAGAGGCAAATACACCAAATTTGGATTTCTTCTAATGATGGACCCTTCGGGGGGGGGATTTCATGGGGAGATGGTCTAGTCCTTTTATAATGCTCAATTACTGATCCACTCTTGGCTGACCAAGTTGTAGTGGATCAAAAAAGAGTCCAGGGATCCATTTCTAAGGACACTGTATCCCAAGAAAGTCTGATGGCATTTGGTAGGGCTTATTCTTGTCTATACACACACAAGTTTGGGCTGAGTTCATATGGGAGCGTTGAAGTTTTTAAAAAATGGAATATTGTGCTGCTTTAAATATCTGCTTAACCATGATCTTGGCTCTAGATGCCTGGCAGATGGAAGAATATTTGATGTTGCATCCACCTTCGTAACGCCAAGACCCCAGCAGGAAACACTCCAGTTAACAGCAGAAGCATTTGCTGGAGACACCAAGAACACAGTGAGAGGATGCTTTTTATGCCACAATCGCCTTACATTAAGATGGCAGTCATTTCCACTACACTCCTACTTTGATTTGCATTCCTTTTCTAGATCTGTATTGCGTGTCATTTGAAAGTCACTGCTGCTGACGAAGAACCAGATCTCTTGAATAAAGCTTGCCCATTCAACAAACATAGGGAGATGTGAGTATTATACGTTGGGATGTAATAGAGATGGTAAGATTCTGAAGGGCTCTGATGACTTTTTAATGTAATATCAGTCGGCTTCCAGTAGAAGACTCTAGGGGCATGTGCAATTGCTGTGAAATGGAGAACTGTCCACCATCCAGAGGATGGCCCAGGGCAGTCAACCCCAACAGGACTGCTTCACTGAGACACAAGAAGTTAATGTTCTCTTGGCCAGCTATGTTCATGACCTTACTGCCAGCACAGTGGGTTAGCAGGATAACTAAGTAAGAACTCCAAGTAGTTAGTACATGGCTTAAAACTAAATTTCCACGGAATCTCCTCCTCCAACCCATGGCTGAGGATACTGGAGAATTTTATTTATTTTATTATTTCCTTTTTACAAAACTTGTACTCCACCTTTTGACCTTCCTAAGGGCCACCAAACAAGTGATCCTACATAATCTGAAGTGCCCTGGGAGCAAATGAGAAATTTGCATGAAGTTCTTAAATGATTGCCCCCTTGGCTCTTAAGCTTTTCGTGCATGCAGCATCTGTGGAAAAACACATCGCCTAACACAGAATGTGTCTTTGCTATAGATTAAAGGGTTTCTTGAAATGCTTGTTTTGTTTACCCTCTAGCTCTCACTGACTTCTCAAAAGAAGGAACAGGGACTGTGGTTTGGACCTCTCTCAATCCTTGATGTTGAACCAGGTCACCAAAAAGACCAAGTAGGAATACAGGTGGCAGCAGAAGGTAAGGAACTAGCTAAATAAAAAGGTAGTACCTCTGGTGATTTACACTCTAGGAGCTTCAAAGGATTTCTTGCTACTGAGCAGCTGACTGATCCACCCAACAAGAATACAATCTTCTCTAAAACCACTACTGGAAATGAAGAAGCGCCCTGTGACTGTTTTAGAACATTTGTAGAAAGGGACTTTTATTTGGTAGCCGACAAGCAGTCGAGAAGCCATAAAGCAACAGTGCATCATACATTGACAACCTTTGTTCAGAGTGGGGAGAAAAACTGCAGTGTCAGCAGAAATATTTACTCTAAACATACACACTTGCTGTTGCTAGGCATTCTCTGTGCATTTACAAGCACAAGTTTTTATTTACTACCTCGCTTAAAACACTTCTTAAGACGATGAACACCTTTGCTGCATAGTGTGAATTGGCATTCTGGCATATGAAGCTGTTGTGAAAAACATTTATATTATAAGCTTCCTAGAAAGTATATTGATTGTCCTGAATCTAACCAAATCTCCCTCCATGCTACAGCTCTCATCCCACTGGGCTTTTGTTCACGCAGGTTCCATGATTCCCTCCCCCAGCATCGTGTTTTGTGGGAGGGGGGGTTTGGTGGCCAGGTGGGACCTTTCTTTATTCACCAACAGAAAAACTGGTTAGAGCTGGCCCTGTTTACCATCTCCTCTTGGATACAAGCTTTCAAATAGGTCCTGGGTATAGAAGGGATAAGGCCAACAGACATAGCATTTGATACAGAGGCTGCAGCAAAACCACTAGTGCAATACACCAGTGATACAGAATAGCTTGCATTTTTGTGGGTGGGATAGACTGTGGTCTAGAGTGGAGGCTAGTGTCAGGTGAGCAAAGTAACAAAGTTAGGTGCGCTCTGTTACCCCTCACTTTGAATCACAATTTCTTCAAATTGCAAAGAAGGCTTGCAAACCTCTAATATTCATGAAATCTGTAAAAGTATGCTGAAAGCATTGTGTATATGTACTCTCACACTATAAAACCCTGTTGAGTAATCCAGAAAAGGGAAGAGTCAGTACCTTGCACTGTTATATTTTATTTAAAGGTACCCCTACTGTGACAGAAGTGGAGGCTGACTCTGCAGTCGGTCTCCACTTTATCGTCCAGCAGACGAAGAATTAAGTCGGCTTCCGGATTTGGAGACTGTGAGACCAAATGGTAGGTTTCTTCAGAAAAATCAATTAAAGAATACTACAGGTCTCAAAACTGGTAAGCTGCAACTACTGCCACCAATTGGTATCAACTGCTTTCACCACCATGAATCAGCACCATACCTAGAGAAAAACTGGCAATATAGTTCTCATTTCTGATCATACGTCGTGGATCTTTGCTCCTTAGCAGAGGTCCAAAGGAGATGTGAACAACGTAAGGACTAACTAACAATATGGACTACCTATAGCCAGGGCTTTTTTTGTAGAAAAAGCCCAGCAGGAACTCATTAGCATAATAGGCCACACCCAACAGCAGAAACTCATTAGCATATTAGGCCACACCCCCATGTTACCAGAAGTGTTGTCATCCACCTTTTGCTTCTTATTCTGTTTACTTTGTTGTCAAAACCCTGGGCTTTTTTTGTAGCAGGAACTCCTTTGCATGTTAGGCCACACATACCCTAATGAAGCCAATCCTAATGAGTTTCTGCTATTAGGTGTGGCCTATTATGCTAATGAGTTCCTGCTGGGCGTGGCCAACTCAGGAGCCAGCCGGAACTCCGTTCCTGTGCGTTCCTCCCCAAAAATAGCTCTCCCTATAGCAAACATAAAATCTGTCCCTGATCAGTAACTGATCACCATCATCCACAGTTAATGTACCTATTATGCATTTGTCCCTGCATAAATTGGACATCTCCCTCTCTTCTCCTCAACCAGCCTCTTAACACATAGCAATGACTCTAATCTCTCAGTGATGGAAATGCTTATAACTCAGTTCAAGCAACTTTTAATTCTCTCTGTTATAGATATGATGCAAGACATGGCATGTGAAAATGATATTACGGCTGCCAAGATGAGTACTGATGCAGATGGGAATTCAGGTAACGTGTCAGGGCCTACGGAAATGGCCAAGATGTCGTTGCAAGGTATGGACTCAACTGCAGCTAAAAGGGGTGGTAAACTGGAAGGGGAGATTCTGACTCTTGCCTTGAATATTCTTGCTTCCTCTCAGGTAGAGCATCTGAAAAGCAGTTTTCCCAAGAGAATTTATTGACCATAGCAGCTGGAATTCTGATGCTTGACCTACTCGAACATATCTCAGGGACTGTTCTGTTCCATTGCTTTATATATATAACAATAAACAAAACTAACACTGAGGTCTTTTTCTTATAGCCAAATTAGCTCTATACTACACAAACTAGCAGAAATTAGGGACTATATACTAGCAGAAATTATTTTATTTATTTATTTTATTTAACTTTAGACTTGATATACCGCCCTAACCCCCGGGGGGGGGGGGTCCTCTGGGCGGTTCACATATATTTCGTTCTAAGAACTGTACTCCTAACTTGGGCCACATCTAATGTTGGGGGTGGGACTGCCTACCAGCACCCTTGGTGGTGGGATCTTTGATGGTCTCTTCTGGCTGCTGGCCCGGCTCGACGTCTAGCTCGATCTCTTTCCTGGCAGCTGGATCGGCATGGTGTCCTCTAGGTCTTCCTGGTTGCTGGCTCTGCACGGCGTCCTTCAAGGTCTCTGATGTTTCCACGGCAACCACCGGCAGGATCGCGCAGGCGCACAGCTCGTGTGCGCTTCCAGCCCCGGCTCCGTCCATCAGGCACCGCCGTGCCTGCGTCACATGCCGTCGCGCATCTCTCGCCTCCGCCGTCGCTGTTGCCCAATGTTTCTCCGTTCCGGCCACCAGGGATCACTCTGTCTCTGCCAGCACTCGCCACCACCGCCAATATCGCGGCGCCATCCATGCTGTCTGCACCGTCCATGGGCCACACAAGCACCAGGCAAAGACTCCAAAGTATGCAAAGTATGCCACTCCAAAGTATGCAAACTGACTTACATGGGTAAGATTAAATAACACTGACCCGAATTGCATTGAAGGACTAAATTCTCAATCTGCGTGGTGGTATCGTGTAAAATGGTCCTATGTACTATCAGGGGAGAGGGAAAGAATAAGGTAGCTCAGGCTCCCACTGCCCCAAATCAGTGGATGGGCTAAAAGCATTTGGCAGAAAAACAGATGGATCCACACAAGATTTCTAGGGTGATGAAGACGACTGGAGCCTAATAATCTCCTCTTCAGTTGAGAGGCAAAAGCACCAAATTTGGATTTCTTCTAATGATGAACCCTTCGGGCCTCTATAAATCTCCTGTCTCACCTTGTAACATGTTCAGGTTTGAACTGTTCATGGTCTCTGTAAACCGACTGTGCAGGATTGGCAGCTCTGAAAAAGACACAACATTCATTGTTCTGCATGCTAGGCCAGGGATATTAATCTACCGGATAGGAAGGTTAAGGTGTACTGTGTTCGAAAGGCATCTAGTTTCATATTCCTTCATGGTAGTTTTCATGTACTGAACACTTCTTGAACACTGCACAGAGGAAGGGGGGAAAGGTGTTTAAAACCCATCTAATATACTTCGCCAAGATCTTATTTAAAAGAGCTTCAGTATTCCTTATGGAATCATACAATAGGAATTTAACACAAGCATTATGGATATTGACTCCAAAGCAGCTTACTAAACAGCAGTTTTTTCCTTGACCCAATTTATATGCCTTTAAATGATTTAATTTCATAACTAAAAACATTAACCTATGTGATTAGGCAGCATTGGCTTCCTGGACTCTCTTTACTCAAGGTAATGAGTAAGGTACATTAGGCATATGTGATCTGAGATGTAACATTCATCCTAACTACACTAAGCAAAGCAGCTTACTAAACAGCAGTTTTTTTCTTGACCTAATTTATTTTCATAACTAAAAACATAAACATATGTGATTAGGCAGCATTGGCTTCCTGGACTCTCTTTACTCAAGGTAATGAGTAAGGTACATTAGGCATATGTGATCTGAGATGTAACATTCATCCTAACTACACTAAGAACTTCTGTAAGATGCTAGTTCCTGATAGGTTGGAACTTCCATGTTCTTATCACTGCCTGGCTAACTTGGTTCAAAACACCAAACCATGGTCTGGGGTTACAATACATGCTGAGGTTAGCAGCCGTTCTCCTTGCCTAATATCCTTTGTGTTTCCTGGTTGTTTGCAATAGCTGAAATTACACACTTGCTTG